ATTTTGCTTTTTTACGTATGATATACATCGATGAGCCAAATCCATTAAGAACACTTACTGAATACCGCGTTGCGCGACCTTTGGCCTACAAATCAGCTGCAACTCGCCTTGGCATGGATGCCACAAAATCTTGGTAGATGACTGAAGACAGGCTGTACCAAATATCTAAGCAGCCGTCACCCAGAGTCGAAATATTCTGACATGGGGGTGTTTGAACTTTGAGCTGTCTCTCTATGGCATACCAAATGTGCTCTATCGGGTTAAGATATGACACGTTAGGTGGCCAGGATATAACTTGGACAAATAAAGTTCAAATTAGGAAGGCAGGAAATAACGTCATACCTGCAATTCATCCTTATGTTTTTTGAACGCAGCTCGTTTACTGCAACACATTCGAGCTTTTTAACATGGTACGATGTCCTGCTGGAAGATTCCATGCTCAGTTAGAAACGCAGAAGCCATGTAAGGGTGCAACGGATCCACAGTTGTGTTCAGATAGTCAATAGCTTCCATAATCTGTTCTACCAAAATTAAGGATTCCACAGCCGCTCATGAGGAGGTCGCCCAAAACGTAATACAGCTGCCACCAGGCTATGTATGACGTGTTGTGCAAGGAGGATGTGACTTTGCCCTGGAAGACGGCGTATCTTGACACGACCATCCACATGAGAAATGAGAAATCGTGATTAATCCGACCAGGCGACTGTCTTCCACTTATCCATGGCCCTGTCTCGATGTTCCCGGGCCCACTGTAGGCGTAGATGACAATGACAATTGGTCAACAGAGGCCCACGAGTGGGACGTTTGCTACGCTGTCCCATAATCAACAGTGTCCGCTGATTTATGTGTTTCGAAACACCTGCACTTGGATGTGCATTTTGTTGGTCTGTCACCTGGGCCACTGTCTGGCGCCGATTTCGCTGCACCAAAGGGGACAATCTCCGACGTCCTTTTTTGATGACAAGTGAATGTCAAAGACCTTGGCGTCTAATGCTGGTTTCATCGTCCTTTATCCACTTTGCATAAATACTAACAATGGCAGATGGTGAGCAATCTACCAGTCGCGCAGTTTCGGAGTTACTCGTTCGGAGTCTTCGGGCCATTACAATCTGCTCTCTATGGCATTTGTTCAGATCAGCAGCTTTTCCCATCACTCGCAAAATTAAGTGCAAGAAAGATTCCTTACGTTTTTCAGTAACAGTTAAATGCCATTCCCACTTGATCCAGCGCCCTCCATGTTATCCAGACGAGTTCATTGAAAAATGTGGAGATACTTTGAATATAATACTTTGAATTCTAGTGTATATATACCATTCTCTAAAATAGAATTTTGGAATTAATATGGGATACAGAGGCATAGGAAGAAAAAGGAACATTTAAAATGCCATTTTGTTTCTTTAAGTCATTTTAATAAACGTGTATTAACAGTAATTACTTATTTGGTAACATTTCTAGCATTATAAAAAAGGTAACTGTTTTAAAAGAAAACTAATACAATATGAGAAACGTTATCAGTTGAGATGTTTAAAAAGTGTATTTTATACTTTTGAAAGACTGTTACAGTATCTATAAATAAATGCTCATTTGACATCAAATTTTGATATCTTTTACATCAAGTCTGAAAAAAATAAAATGTTATTTCAGAATCAAAACTGTTTCTATTTAAGATTCTAAATCATTGCGTATTTTGATACAAAACGTTAAGTATACAAAAGTTAATTATAATTACTTACACATTTTTAAATTGCATAGTATCTATGAAATGCGTTATGCTTTGTTTCATTTCATTATACATATAAGAAGAATTGTCCACCATCAGAGCTATCTGAGTTATACGATCTCAAATGTAAATGAAGTTTGTATCTTTGTACGGTTAGGTTATTTATTACGGCTAAGCTTCGAGGGCTATCTGCATAAGGGGAGGGATGACTTCGTGGAGGACTTTCTAAGGGAAACTGGCTCGTATACACGTTACACATGGCAAAAACCACGAAAACACTCATGCAGCCAGCTCGTTCGCGGAATTCGAACCTCGGGCGAACTACCAGTGTGTAGCGATTTTACCGCTCGGCCGCTGGTGGATGTATCTTCGTACGCTAAACTAAAATGAACACGAAATGATTAAATGAAGTTATAGATTAATGTGAAAAAAATGATTAAAAATTTGCAGCTGTAATTGCGTTGAAAACATAATGAAGATTCGTCAAATTAATATTTAACAGCAAGAAAAAAGAAAGAAATTTTTTAAAAAAATTCTTTTCCTCATTTTTAGTTATAGTAATTGAGATTGTATATCCACGCTTTGTTAATTGCATCCCATTGTTTGAAGGTTAAGGGCTGCCTGTGAAAAGTTTGTAAAATAATTCGTAGTGCATTTAATGGTAATATTTCTAGTAGTAAAATGTTTAAAATATGAGCAATAAATTTAAATGTTGAACAAAAGTATTGAAATAACAAGGCAGATATTCACCACTAAATGAGCAGACCCCCTTTTTTTATTGCAAGTGTTTATTAAGCGTAGTAAGACAAAAAAAGACTCTTCTTTTTTATTTCTCCAAAATATAGGCTTTTTTAAATTTTTAAATTAATTTTACTTTTAAATTATTAATTCATAAATATATTTAATCATATTATGATCATATTATAATTATAATGTGATTTTTTCCTTTTTGTTTAATTGATAGTTCTGTTTACAAACTTTTGTTATCTTTTAAAAGTTTAATACTTTGCAAAATAAGATTACTCAAATTTAATTTACATATGTGAAAGAAATCTTCTTTTATATTAACCATTAATACGAAATATTTCGCATTTATTTATGGAGGCATTTATTTTATATAATTTCAATAATATAACATAGTGAAAATATAACATTAAATAAACTAAATTTAATGTTTGTAGTTTAGCGCTTTTTTTTTTTTTTTTTTTTTAATGTTGCGGTTAGATACTCCCAAAAAGCATTTGTAAACATTGTTCTGTTTATTCTGTTGGTTTGAAATTCACAAGATAAATTTAGTCTTATATAAACAAGTTTGGTTTAAAATTTCGAAAGATTATAATTTTATAAAACTTTTCTGTCCTTTTAACAAAAAGGTTCGAATCCCGCGAACGGGCTGGCTGCATGGGTGTTTTCGTGGTTTTCCCCATGTGTAGCGTGTATACGAGCCAGTTTCCCTTAGAAAGTCCTCCACGAAGGCATCCCTTCCCTTAGGCAGATAGCCCTCGAGGCTTTGCCGTAATTAATTAACCTAACCTAACCTTTTAACAAAATTTTGTGTTCTGCCCCCATCGTAAAACTTTTAAACTACTTTTAAGTAATGTTTAAGTGACATTAATAAAATTGTATAATACTTAAATCTTAAATTACTAATATTAAATGTTATAATATAATATAAAATAAGGAATCCCATGAATATTGTGTAAGATCACCTTTTTCCATGTTCCGAATCTTCCGAATCGTAATCTAAAACAAAAATTGTGTAAACATCTTATTAATTTTAATGACTGATAAATTTTTAATGACTTATTAATTTTAATGATTTATTAGAAAATTTAAAAAAAAGATTATTATAATTTCAGCACATGTATATTACTAATATCACCACATGGCGGAGCTAAGTAGATATTCTATATTTCTGCAGAAAGTATAGTGTTTCATTTCTACAGATAATCCTCTATTAACTTATGAAGTAAACTTTCTTTCTCGTCTCTTATTTGATTTTTAAAAAAATTCTGGAAATATGTTAAAATTTTAACTCAATTAAATTTTGTCAGATTATACTGAGGTAATGTAACTCAACATTTAAAACATATATTTACATATTATATTCTATTTCTTAATTTTAATTTTGGCTTATTAACAATGTAGGTACATATTCTTTAATTATTTTTCATTAAACGAAGACTGTGAGTTTATCTTTAATTAAAGTGTCTTAATATTAATCCCTTTTTTCCTTATTAGAGATTCTTTTAAAGGAATCTTTCAGGATTTATATTCAAATTCAAATTAGATTCAAACTGCTGAGCGGCTTATCACTGAGTTCAAACAACTATAACGTAGATTCAAGAAGGGTTAAAATACCCTTTATTTCACTCAAAATAAGATGATCCCTTTCTCGGGCTTACAACGAAGCGTCCACTTAGGCTTAAACTCAGAATAAAGACTAAACTGTAACTGACTAAGAGACTTAACTGAAGCTAACACAATCTAATGCAGCTGGACTTTAGTTTAAACTGGCCGGCGAATATCAAAAGCCATGTAATATACGGCCGAGCGTAGCAATTTCAAAATAGATGTAACCCGAAGGCAAACAACTGCTACTCAGGATTCCTGGCCCTCTCTGACGAAGTAAGCTGAAACTTCCTTGAATACTACTTCTTACTAATTTGCATTCGACATGATTCTAAAACCCCATTCTGATAGGGAGTTGTAAGTCTAAACAAGAATTGATAGGAAAGCAATTTAAAACTAAAATAATTGTTATAAAATTAAATACCTTACATTTTCACAAGAAAAAAATTGAAATTCAGAAAACTTAATTTTTAGTCAGATTTTAATCTTAAATACTTACCTGTCAGTTAGCTTTAAACTGCCATAGCTAATTATGGCTTTATACGCAAATATCACTTTAGGTTTTCGAGCAACAACACTAATATAACAACCGATTAACTATGAGCACTTATGGTGGATTATTCTACTTACTTTGCTTTGAAGTTATAAGTGTTTTATAAAATATTCTTTTTAAATTTTGGTGTCTTTTTATATCGCATCCATATTGATATGCTTAGATGCGAGGCTGTATGCATTTTGTTACTTAGGCTTTAAATAGTTGTTAGTATCCTCGCGTATGATCGAAAGGAGAGCTCCCTTGTCCTGAGCATGGCAGTCGTAGTTTGTGGTGTGTGTGGTGTGTCAACATAGAGTAGACAAACCCCTACCACAGGCTACTAATCGGCCATACTTAAACATTATTCAGTGTCCGTCTATTATTTTCCAACAGACAGAGAGGAGGAGGAGGAGGAAAAGCCAAAGTTCAAAGAGAAGTGCTTGGCGCAGTGCCTGAAGTGCATAGATTTCTGCTGCATTTGGGACTGCTGTGCTTGCTGGATATATGTACAACAGCTCTGTGCATTCATCGTCTTTGACCCGTTTATGGAACTCTTCATCACGCTCTGCATTGTAGTGAATACTCTCTTTATGGCAATGGACCATCACAACATGGACAAAAATTTCGAAGCGTTCCTGGTGAACGGCAATTATGTAAGTGGGTAGGGTGCGAATGCAAAATTAGGCAAGAATTTCGGGAGCCTTAAACATTTTTATGCATTCTCGTGCTTTTTTTTTCTTTCTTTGATTGACAAAAGTGCACGAAATTACACAACGTGCGGAGTTTCTCAAATTTTCAAAACCGATTTCAACCATTCCGATTCTGCGTACAATCCATTATCTTACGTTTTCTTCATGTTACATATATTTGAATCTGAAAGAGGCTAAAAATGCCCATGAAATACAAAATAATATAATTAATAACCGTTGATGAATAAAGAGACAAATTCGAATTGTCAGAGCCTGCTTAATGTCATTGCACCTTTGCTAATCTTTTTTTTTTTTTTAATCTTTTGCATAAATTCACCAGCCTGTTAGTTAACACACCATCTGCCTATGCATTTGTACTACGTTATTCAATCTAATTTATTTAAGTTCTTGAGAAAATAGATCGTCATAATTATGATGTATCGCAAAAAAATAACATGAAACGTTATTATCTGTGTATTATCGCTCAGTTAAAAGCAAAACAAATTATTAACTTTAAATCTTTTCAGATCAATATTTTGATATGAAATAAACGCTTTGTAAAATAAAAAGCAATTGGATAATATAAAATGAAATTTTTTCCCTGATAAGACAATGAAAACAAATTTACTATTTTACACAATTAATATTTAAGAACACCGTCTGATACACTTTTGTACTAATCAATAAAGAAATGCTTCAGCAACTTTTAAGAACTGCGTATTAAAATTGCACTTTCGTCGAATTCAAACGCAGTTGTTTACATGTTCTTTAAGTCTGTCCTTTTTAAGTGTTCATCTGTAAGTGCAAATAGAGATATGATTTTATTATATTCGTAGAATTTTAAAAAAATAAAAGCAATTGTATCTGTAAGTTTCCTTGTAATCCATTAAATTATACACTGCTTGACAAAATGCAATACCAAGAAGGAGTGGTCAGAAAGTGAAGAAATTTGGAAAAAAGACAGAGACAGCAAGCAGTAATAAGTGATCTGTATTTCAAAATCATAGTCAGAATACAGAGCGAGAACGGCGTCGGCTCAGTAGGCTGTAGGACCACCGCGGACAGCGATTCACGAAGAAACACATCTAGGCATAGAGTCAATAAGAGTGCGGATGGTGTCCTGAGGAATGGCTCTCCACTCCCTTTCATCCATTTGCCACAGTTCGTCTTCTGAACGAGGCAGGGGCAGAGTCTGCAAACGGCGTCCAATCACATCCCACACATGTTCGTTTGGTGACAGGCCAGGAGAGTATGGTGGCAAGGGAAGCATTTGTATACCTTGCAGAGCACTGTGTGGTCGGGGGTTATCCTGCTGAAAAATTGCATTAGGCAGCCCCTGAAGGTAGGGGATTGCCACTGGCCGCAGTACATTATCCAAGTATCGTTGGGCTGTCATAGTGCCCTGAATACGAACTAGAGGTGACCTGGAATCGTAGGCAATAGCGACCCAAACCATTATGCCACGTTGTCGCGCGGTGGGGCGTTCCACAGTTACTGCCGGATTAGATTTGTCTCCACGTCGACGCCACATACGTATGCGGCGACTGTCACTGGATAAACAGAAGCGTGACTCATCTGAGAACACGACGTTTCGCCATTCTGTCATCCACATCGCTCCAATCCAGCACCATTCTAAACGTTGCCGTCTATGCTGTTGGCTCAATGGCAGTCTTCTTAACGGACGCCGTGAGTGCAGGCCACGTTTAACCAATCGACGGGAAATGGTTCTGATCGACACGGGAACATCCAGGGTATCTTGCACATGCTGCAGAATCGCGGTACAAGTGACTTGCGGGACCGTCACAGCTTGTCGGCGGATGCGTCGATCCACGCGTGCTGATGTCACTCTGGCTGCACCTGCACCCATCCTTCTTTCCACATTTCCTTCTTCGAACCATGTTGGCCATAGCCGATGCACCGTGCTTGCATCCATGCGGGTACAGTTGCGATTTGACGTAAGGACCAACCCGCCCTTCTCAGTCCGACCACCATACACTTCGTAAAATCGTCTTATCTGCTGGAAGTGTGTTCATTGATGGCGGCCTGGCATTCTCTCATATTACATTTATCCTCTGGGAAAAAAACAACATTTTTCGATAATTCGTCTGGCAGAAATAACGACACGAATATTGCCCATTCTTCACAGTCCTTCCCTTATATCTTACTTCACGTGCGTCGGAGAGCTGCGCATTGCACATCATTCGCATAACGCAGTGACGTGCGTCTACTCTAAAATTTGCATAAATTTCTGACCATTCCTTCTTGGTGTTGCATTTTCAATGTCGAGCAGTGTATATAATTATATTCAGTTCGTCACATAAAATATTTTCTTTCTCGTATGCAAACAAATGATTGGAAGGAGATTTTTCATGCTAAGAGTTAAAACGAGTAAAATAAATCTACTTTATTGAAAACATGCTACTATTATAAAATTAATCATTTAAAACTATACGTTTAAAGTCTAATAGGTTAATCTATACACTCAGAACTATTATTATAAAAGTAGTGTTTTATAAACGTGAATATCACCGATGAAAATCAAATTAAATCGAAATTTTCAAATAAAGAAGTTAATTTTTTTTTTATACTAAGGACAGCATTTTATCTCTAAAGTCCAATTTTATACAGAATTAAACGGAAGGCAAAGAAAAAAAATACAGCACAAAACATAATTTTTTGTTGAAATTCTGTTTTCCCATTTAAAATTCCGTGAAGAAATAGCTGTATTGCACACTTTTTTTTAATTTATCATAAAAATATTTCTTTCTATAAAACATCAAAAATACATTCTTGGTAACATAAGTTATCTATCATAAGATTTTTTAGCTCTACACATGAAATAATTAGAAACAAATAATCATTTCGTATCTATCATGTATTAATTGTACATATCGTAGTCCCAGTGTCGTAGCTAAGGTGGGGCAAGGGGGGACATGTGTCCCCGGGCGCAGCATCCAGGCGGCGCCAAACTGATGCTACGAAATTTTTTAATGAAATGTTTTCCATTCTTTGCACACAGGAAGGAGTGCAAATTCTTCAGTTGTGCCCTGGCGCTGGAATCCTAGCTACGCCACTGCGTAATCCTGAGTAAAAAAGGAAGCACTCATTTGGCAGATGTCAATATATATTGAATATAGCAAAATATGTTTTAGATCTTCGGTTTGTTTGTGTTCAAAAGTTATAAAATTCTTTAATTTAGTAAAACTCATTTCTGAGGGTGCAAAACGAACACATTAAAGCATTACTCACCAGCATAAATATATTGGTTTTATTTTTATACTCTCTTTATGGCAATGGACCATCACAACATGTACAAAAATTTCGAGAAAACTCTAATAATAGTCAAACAGTTGGACAAAACTCCAATAATAGTCAAATAGTGAATACAATATTGATTTACAATATGCAACTGAGATTCCCAAATATAGGGGAATAGTAGATGTAATCGCTCTTTTCTCTTTAAACGTCCTATGTATGAAACGAACGATTGAAAATCTCTCACTTTATTTTAAATTCTACATGAAAAGTGGAATTATGGATAAAATTGGATGGATATACGTCGAAGCTCAAGGCGAGTATTGATTTCATGCTTTTGGAACAGAAAATGTCAACTTCACCTTCAATTAAATTCTAGAAAATGATACATTTTACTAAAGATAGACTCAGTTTACGTTATGGCTTAAATAGTCGGCAATATCGTATACACTCTTAGACAAAAAAACGACGCACCACGACGCACCGAGAAGATATAAAGCAAACTGGACACAAATTGATATACATACAGGTTTCGAAGGAAAATGCAAAATTTTACATTTTGGCCGCCAGTGAATGAACGGTTGTCGCTACAGCGCAACTGGCAGGATATTTAACAGGAGAAATTACGATTCCACGTCATAAATTCTTCATGAATTTCATTTCGTGTACTCTGATAGACAGTAACTTGCATACAGGTGCGCGGACGATATGCGCAGATGTCAGAATTTGAGAGAGGTCGTGTAGTTGGGTTCAAAGAAGCCGGTAGGTCTTATCGGCGAATAGCTCGACATTTGAGCAGGAACGATGCCACTATTAGACGATGTTGGCAGGAATGGGTGAACCATGGCCGCACACAGCTTCAAGAAGGAAGCGGTAGGGCTAAAGAAACGACAGAACGTGAAGACCGAGCAATCGTCAGAGCGGCACTCACAGCCCCAGATGCATCATTATCATCGATTGTACGTGCAACTAGTGCTTCAGCGACCGCAAGGACCATTCGTAGACAGCTCACAGAAAGGGGGCTCAGGTCACGGCGCCCCTTGCGCCGATTACCATTGACCTCTGTACAACGTCAAGTCCGTTTGCAGTAGTGTCGGGCTCATTCGCACTGGAATGTCACTGACTGTAGCAGAATAGTCTTCAGTCATGAGTTCCGCTTTGAAATGAGCCCCGTTGGCCAGCGAAGGAAACGCCCCGTACAGCGGTGTGATAACAACCTGATTGTCTTCCGGCAGACAGGCCGACAACCAGGAGTGATGGTCTGGGGTGCCATTTAATTTCATAGTAGGACCCCTTTGGTTGTCATCCGTCGCAACCTTACAGCACAGCGGTACGTCGGCGAAGTTCGAAGGCCCGTTGTGTTACCTCTCATGTCACGCCAATCTGGGCTTACATTTCAGGAAGATAATGCCCGCTCCCCACACTTGTTCATCAGTTCTAACGATTTTCGTCCCATTCGGATAACTCCTCCTTGGTGCGTCGTTTTTTTTTTTTTTTTTTTTTTTTTTTTTTGTCTAAGATTGTACACACCTTCAAGTACCGTCGGAATGTTCACATAAAACATAGCTCTGTCATATACCAATAGAAGCAGCAGACAGAAGATAACTTTTATTGTGCGTAAAATGCACCACATCTCCAGCAAATATGTTTCTCTAGCATTTTTTAATTTTAGGTTATTTTTTCCTAGTAGCTATTCGCATTGTAAATTT